AGGGCTCTGCTGGCTCATGGTTAACTTGGTGTCCACCAGGATCCTTTGGTGCTTGATGAAAGAAGGACTAGTTGAAGGTTTGCCTGCAGCTGGGGCAGTTGTGATGGATTTTTCTCATGGATTCACTGCTGTCTGATGGAGAAGTCAAATGGCAGCCTCTCCTTTACTAGGAGCATCTCCTTCCTGCCCTTCTCTCCATCCATCCGTCTCTTCCAGGAGGCTTCGTATTCCCTAGCCTCGTCCCATGGAGCTTGTTTTACTGCTCAAAGTAGGTTTTTCTTTTTTTTCTAAACTTAGAGATCTCCCTTGAGCTCATCTTTGCAATACATTAAGCTGGTTACCTTTGCAGAGGACACGGAGCTCAGCACCAGTTTTCACACTGAAGGATTCATATTTTTTTTCTTTTCTAATGAGTCATGTTTCCTTGTGATCATTTATCTTCCCTCTGGACCCTCTCCAGTAATTGATGTACTTCTTGAAATACTCGGATATAGCCRTGCACTATCACAACATCAAGTTAAATAGATCTCATTTCTTTCCTGCACCTCTCCAGCTGGTCCACAAGGCACCTGCCCTTCCCCGTGCCCAGGAGCCTCTCGTTGACTTTGCATTAACGGGATCTCTGTAACCTGCCCTCGCCGGCCGAGCTGCTGTTTCCCYGTTGGGTACTTGACTGTCTGATTTCTCCTTCCAAGGACGAGTCTTCGTCCTCCCCTTTATCAATTTTCCTCTTGTTGCTTCCAGGCCATTTCTGCTGTGTTTTGGGGCTGTTTTGAATCCTGGGGGAGCCCCCAAGTGCTCACATGCATTCGCACATTGGTGGCAACCACTGATTTTAAGTGGGCTATTTATTTTACCACTTGAGCCATTAACACAGTTAAGGTCAAGTGCAAGCCACACAATAAATTGTACTCCACTATCACCTGAATCCCTGCTGTGATACCAGGATCTTGTCTGTGCAGCTTCTCTGCTGCACTGTCCTAGTTTATATTAGAGTCCATCTCCTCCTCCTGCTTGTAAGAACAGTAGAGTGAAGCAAAGAAAATATTAAATGTTTCAGCTTTCTCTGAATCATCCATCATTTTTCTCCAYCCCCTCCAATTTTCACACTTAATGATGTGCCATTCCTTCCCATTTTTGTGGTTTCATTTGGAATGCTTTCTCAAAGTCCTTACGAGCCCGTTTTTCTCCACATTAGGAGCTTGTTGTGGTGCCAGGCAGGTCTCCAACATCCCTGTTCCACCCACACCCTCCCAAACTGCCTTATTCCATTTCCCCCAAAACAAAACTCTGCTCTTCCAATCTCTATTATATATAAAAAATAAAAAACCACCCCCCCCCCATACATTACTGCTTAAGGATTCTGTACCTTAGAGAAAGCTTCAGGGCTGCAACACAAGCAAGCTATGGGGACAAGTCCTATTTTAATCATACAGAATTTCAGGAGAACCATGAGTTGAAGGAGATTTTCTTCTCTGATAGAGGAAATAAAATTCAAATAGCAATAAAGATCTAAACCAAACATTCCTTTAGTTTTTGTTATTAAAGGAGTTGGATTTAAGTTTCTACACATCAGCAGGGATCCATCATGAATCACAGGCACCAGGGTCTGTCCTTCTCTTTTACTTCATGCCCTTCATTCTCTTAACGAAAGCTAAATATTTCTATTTAACTTAACTTCCCTAAGCAATGGATTGTCCATCTAAACACAACCTGAACTGCATAACCCTCCACTGGCAGCTGCCCATGGTCCTTCCTGACTGCTAGACAAGGGGCAGGACAGAAAGACTAAGTTAACTCCAATGTTCACAAAAGTAGCAGAACTATTTTTACCCAGGTTGGCAACATGTTCTCTTCCCCATCTCCATGTGACCACGGGCCAACTCGGACCACTTTTGGAAACTCTGTACCAGGAAATGTTCTTGAGGAGGCTGTAACTGTGAGCACTTATACCCTAATGGTCTGTACTGCTCAAAAGGGKGTCTGAGCTGCGTCCCATCAGGTGGCTTTTTGTGGCTTTACATGGGATTTCTAGCTAAGACTATCAGATAGGGTAGTGAAGATTTTACAAGCCATAAAGCGTGACCAGACTGCAATAGGGGGTATTCATTTTATTGACATACTCAGAGAGGGGAAAAAGTTCTCCCATTTTCAGGTTTCTTTCCAGATGTTAGAGCACTATACTCAGGAAAATACAAGTGGAGTATCTCTTAGGAGTGGACAAAAGTGAAGATGGGGAACAGTGCTTTTTTTTAATTTTCAATTCAGATCAGTATTATCCATGCTGCTGCTTATTCTAACCTTAACATTCATCCAAATACTATATTGGGGGTCAGGAAAGCATAGACTAAATGCAGAAAAAAGAGCCAAAGAGCACCAAGAGAAGGGCCAGCCTTCAGCTATTCTGACTCTCGAGCCAGAGCACATTAATAACCCCTGCTTGGGGAGCTGCTCAGTAGCCACCACTGCTACCCATCTGCGAGATYAAACATTGCAAACTTTGGCTGAGGGGGAAAAAAAGAAGAATTCCTCTTGGCGCTCCCAGCAGAGCTGCAATTTAAGGAGCATCTCTCCTAYATTCCAGCCCTCAGGAATGGCTTTAAGAGGCTGCAGTCTGGCAACTGCACGACCTGTAGAGAKCCCACGCGGGCACCCTCCCTCTGAAACACCTCACATTTACTAGGTAAGTTACATTGGAAATAGCTTTATGTTTTAAGCATATGACTAAGAATATACAGTAAATAATCCTTACTCGGCAAATGGTGATCGTATCATTGAAACACACGAGCAAGGTCCTGAAGAATTGGAATCTTGTTTTTCCAAATTTCTGACAGCTACAGGTAAAAACCAATTTTATTATGACCTGGAATAGAACTAAAACAGTGTCAGATACTGTTCAAATTGCTCAGAGACATCTTTTATGTAGCGACATGATTTTCCTCACCTTCCCATGAGGAAAGTTTTTAGGTATCCTTCCAGCCAAAGAGGTCACATTTGATGAGAATCCTTTTACAAGAGGAATCTTTAATGTAGCACAGAAAGAATGCAAGACCTGCTAATCAAAAGCTGCAGAAAGAAGCGGACTAAACATACAGTACATATTTAAACTGAGAGAACATGACAGTTTATGGAACCTGATTATGTAGCACCAGTGTTTTATAGTGGAGACTCTGTCAGGGCTTGACCATGGGGCTGCTCTTCGTGCTCTGCTGCCTTTTACGGCTCTTTATTGAGATTAAGCCCAAAGGAAGTGGCACAAGTTCCTGCAACCCTGAAATAAAGTCACTTATCAGCACTTGGTTGCTTAGCCCAGCAGTGCATTAATTCAGATTGGTCATCGTCACACAAGGGCGAAAAACAACGAACTTTTGAAACCACCATTGCCAGCAGATTAATATAAAAAGAGAAGTTGTGCTGGTGTGTTTAACAGCTGTCAAGTCTGATGAGGGACAGATAGGCTGGCTGTGCCACGGGTCAGCGGGGAGGGCATGTTATCACAGTGATCTTATAACTAGATCTAACTTATAACTAGAAGCTGCAAACACAACCATCTGGAGGACAAGGGGCGAAGCCAGGGCCCAAATGCACCATGATTTGCCCCAAAATTGCAAGTATGGAGCAAAAGAGCAGAGATCTGGAGACGTGTGGAAGCTGCCAGCAAGAGCTCTGCTGCAGCTACGGGCAATTCATGTGGAAAGGCTGTTTTCAGGTCAAATAATAAAGTTAAGACATAAAATAAAGCTAAGAGGCTGCTCCTGAAGGCTTCTCAGCTGGAGCGAAGCATAGGAGCACAGAGTTCCACCAAACTGGTCCCAGCACCGCATCTGGTCTGGGAAACATCCGGCACAGAAAGCTGCAATGTGGGGTAATTAACGTTCTGAGTTAATATGAGTCTGATTTGTGTACAACCTGTTTAGAAGGGGCTGTCATTGCTTCAGAAAGAGGCTTAGAGAAAAAAAAAATCAAAAAAGCTGTTCCATATTTTCAGACTCCGGGAAAAATGATCTGCTGTTCTTCCATTTCAAGGAGAGTAAGCAATAAAACATGTTTGAAGACTGTATAGAGTAGAACAGGATTCATAACCTGTATAGTCTTCAGCCTCAGTGTTCATTCAAAAGGGAAGCGACAAAGCCCATATGAAAAGACTCAATATCTAAGTACAGACTGCAGCTCTTGAGTGTTGCATCAATCTGCCAGCAAGGCAAGGCAAAAAAGAGAAGAACAATCTCATATACAGAAAGCATCACAAAGCTGAAATAGGAGCCAATTTCCAGAGCCTAAAAGCACCTCTGCCTTTCTTTTCATTTTAGCTAGAATTGTTCACCTTGCTAAGAAATTACTTATGGCCACACAAACACATATATCCAATAGGTTCAATAGGAGGCTCCTCCCTCCAAAAACCACGAGCAATCAGTAACAAAGTAAAAGTGCTCCTGTTTACCCAAATTCTGATCAAGCTTCCTCTTACACATAGAACATGAAATGCCAAAAAAATCCAGGAGCTGATTTTAGGAGTTGAAACTGTCATCACTTTCCTAAGGAAYTTCAAAAGATTTGACAGAAAAGAAACAGGACTTGGGTCCACATATAAAGTWACATGTTTATGTTAGGATTAAATATTTATATTAAATTCACAACTGGTGATTGATACCTAGCAACACTTTAAAAAAGAAAAAATTAGTTTCAAAAAAATTGTATTATTCCAGGATGAGACCAAATGCTTTAAAAAAGTTTATGGCTTCAGTGTGAAAATATTACTTCATTTGAAATGCATTCAGAATATCAAGAAGTTTCCAAAATGCAAGACTTTAAATCTATATCCATTCTCTGAAATGATGAACAAAAAAAAAAAAAAAAAGAAAAGAAAAAAAACCCAAAACACACTTACTTTTTAAAAAGGAAAAAATGCTCACAAAATTTAAAGTCAATTCACCATTTTAAAAGGTTACTACAAAAAAAACACACATTCCTTTGTTGCCTTTCAACTATGTTATATTTCAAGCAAAATTGTGTCTAAATATAAAGAATACTTAATGTTTTAATTCCACAAGATTTAAATATTGTAATATTTATCACCAAAGAGYCTCAGCATTTCAATGGCTTAGGTTTTTTACAACACAGAGAATGGGAAGTCAGTCATTCAGTTGCACTCAACTTGCTGCTTGCACCATGGTCCACTTGTGYCCAACCTGGAATGCAATGAGGGCTCACCCTGACCCTTCCTGCTTCCATGGAAAAGCTTTTCAGCACTTGCACACAAGTCAGCACACGGGATGAACGGCTCTTCAGTTCTTCCATTAAATATAAAAAGCCAATTTTCTTTAAATTGATAGTTTAATAGTTAGGCTAAATATAGATTTTGCCACATTTCTTGCTTGCAAGCCAGTGCAACACTTCTTGACAGTTCATTCATCATCTTGCTGATTTCTTTTCTGTCAAGGGAACAGAAGAGTCAATGTTAGGACATAGCCATCAGAAATAAAAGCAGTAGTAAGTCACTACAGTTATTTTCYGGATATGTTGGAATTTAAAACATGACCACACATCAGAACTATTTTTTGAATGATAAGCAAAAATGCAGCAACATCAAATTTCTCTCTCTTCCTGCATGCTCCCCCCCAAAGATATGATATTTCATTTACAGTAAGAACAAAATTAGCCATAAATGTGAGCCAAAACAAACAAACAAAAAAAAACCCCAGCATATTCCCAGAAAACCTAATGCAGTTAGGTCTACATCAAGGCAACCTAAACTCTCCTCCCATTTATAAAGAGGTCATGGAGAACCACCACCAAAGATACCAAGAAATTCTTATCACCTGGGGTGGAGAGGGGAGAGAAGCTAATTGTTTCTTTTTCTTTCTCTGATATAATTCTCTTTTGGCTTTCAAAAAAGTTCTTAAAAGCACTAGCTTTTAGCCAACCAGAAACTAGTTTTGCATTTAATCTCTGCATTTTTATTGAAATAAGAAAGAAAACAGGTTCTTCAATAACAGTTTGTCAAATAATATTCTTTGCTAGCCCAGAAGACAAAATTAAATGAATTGAGACTGGCATGATAGCTTACCCTTCATCACTAAAAGAAATATAAATAAGCTCCGAAATATATCGTATTAGGGCTCCATGTATCACTGTTCTTAGCGTCAATTGTAGCACAATTTCAGACACTTAAGTGTTCCCATTTCACCAGATGGAAGGTCAGAAATGTGTACACGACTTCTTACCAGTTTAAGAAAGTCAATTAACTTGTGAACATCCTCTCCTGTGGAAAGGTCCACAAAATCTTTCGGCAGGCGGTAACTCAGGTACGGGCTTGGCTGGACAGTAACTTTGCTGTTTGTACAACGGAAAACGGGACAGTCCTGGGAGAAAGACACAGAATAACACAGAAACACACAGTGTCTGTGAACAAAGTCTGCAACACTCTTTTTTAAAACTCACTGAGACTCTCACTGAGTCACCTCGCTACACAGTTTATTTAGCATTTACTAGCAGTTGTAAATATTATTAAACTCTGCCCATTTACAGCAGGAGTTAATGTTATTTATCACTATGTAAAGGCATTCCTGTCCTCATGTCAAAATTGCCACAATGTGTTAATTATTTTTCATGCCATTAATATGGGACTGTTACAAATTTTTGTATAATAGAGCCATTGGAAACTCTGGGTAATAACACCTTTCTAAACATATGGATCCCAAGAAACTTCATCATAAAAATCATTAACTTGTCTTCATGGGTCTCCTGCATAATTTCATGTTGATAAATTTACCTTTGACAAAACCACGGACTAAGTTTCCTTCCAATTTACTCATTTTTTAATTCATTTTAAGTCAAAAATATCTCTAAACTCAATTCTAGCAATAGATTTTAGGATGCTCAATATCATCTTCAGCTAACATACTGCATCTTTAAAACATGCTACAAGTGTCAAGCAACACAATTACCTATTGGATGGCAAAAAGTATCTTCATTTTGTAGATGCTGTTTCAATGACTTTGGTACAGATTCTGTGGTCAGCTCAAGGATTAGGACTGTGTTTTAACCAAGTTGATATAACTTATAGCAGAAGGACCCACAGATCTTCATGCAATGAAGAAAAGCTGTTATTAATAAATGAAGCCTGTTTTTCCCTCTCCCTGTTAACAGGGAGCTGCTTTACAGGGGCAATGCAGCTTGGAACAGGGATAGGACAGCCCTGCTCTGCAAGTCCAGGAGTTCAACAGAAGGACAAGGCTTCCCCGCGGGTACTTGGTGTGAGGAAGACACAGAAGTTCAGCTTCTTTTTGCCTCCCACTAAACATAAATCTGGAGCTTGGGGAGATTAAGTGACAGGCGTTTGCAACAAAGAGGAATTTCAAATGAGTAAATAATATGTAACAGATTTTAAGAGATAAAATCAAAATGGAAAGAAACTGAAGATCAAGACTAGACAAAATCACATGTCAGGGCACCCTCTTGGTCAKAGTTGTAGTGAGGGCTGGTGCTGTTTGAGCAACAATTCCCTTGAACACAACTAAAACCAGCAGGTGATACTTGAAGTCAAGCACTGTCTAAACAGACACTTCCACAGAGTTTGCATTCAGTTTCCTTCAGYGGGATCTGGATGACAACATTCCTAGAAGCAAGGAAGGACCAGGGAGCAGAGGGCCTCCTTCCCCAGCACATTGGTACCTGTTCCGTGGCTTCCCCTTCGCCCTGCTCTCCTTTCAAGCTGTTCCCAGACATCAGCTCTTCCCAGGTAAAGAGCAGCGAGTCAGTCACTTCACCAAAGGGGTTAAAATCTACCAGCCAAACCCTGCCCTGCAAGATAAGGACGAAGGAATTAAAACAAATCAGAGAATTTGAGATGAAATCATAAAATAAACACACGTCCTGCTGCTTAGTCTTAAGGACAAAAAGTGCTTAGCCTTTAAAGACAAAAAAAAGAATAAAAGTCCATCTGTTCTTACACAGTTAAGAATATTCTAATATCCTTTACACTAAACACATTACAGACAGTTTTAAAGCACATCAAGCTTTATTTTTCATATTATATATAAATAATATTCTTTAATGAGAAGATCAGACAGAGCTCAAACTGAATGCCCACGTGAGGCGTTTTCAGATGAGTCTGGAGAAGTTGTGTCAAATCTCCACGGTTTTGGAAGATCCCCACATGGCAYGAACAGAGGGAGGGGGGAAATGCAAACAGGGATTTCATTGTGGTCCAAAGCCACCTCTGCCCGAGTGACGGTCTCCACCATTTCTGTTCTTGTTCTGTATTTAAAGAGAGTCCATTGAGAGACATAGGTCTGTAAAATGCTACTGATCATGTGTTTCAAGACTCATGATCCTTTCCAGATGAAAAGTACTGCACATGGATATGAAGATAGAATAACATGAAGCCATTTTTAGTATAACCATTACTACTGCTTTCTCCTGCCTTGTCTTTACCATGTTCCTGCTTTGAACAGTGGTGTTTGCACGGATAACCCTCCACACCTATTTTATAACCCAAAAATGAGAGCAGAGGGATGTATGTGACTTAGTAAAGTTAACCGAGAAGTCTCTCAAGGAGCACAAAATAGTCTGCATTCCCTGGGTCATCTCAAGCTGCGGTCCCCAGTACTAGGTCACCTTTTCTTAGCCAAGGAAGTATCACCTATTGTACTAGAATAAAAGGATTATAACTCCTAATAATGAAAAATGAGTACAATGGCAGCGAGAATCTGAAAAACGGGTAAAAAAGGTGACTTCTTCCAGATGCAGTCAAATATGAAGAGGATTTCTTAAAAAAAAAAAAAAAAAAAAAAAAAAAAAAAAAAAAAAAAAAAAAAAAAAAAAAAAAAAAAAAAAGGAGGGGGCCTGAAGACTTATTTTGAATTAGCAGTCAGCTGGAAGAAGAAACCAAACCTGAAGGCTGTGCAGCTACTCAAAACTCCCTTCGCCTTCTCTTTAGCCTCCACCATGGACACAAGTTGAAACCCGGGCCGTTGCATCTCATGCGAGGAAGAACTTCCTCGCTGTGAAGGTGTCAGAGCCCTGGATCTTCCAGAGAGGTTGTGGAGTCTCCTTCTCTGGAGATCTTCAAAACCCACCTGGATGTGACCAGGTGTCGCATTCTTCCTCACTTTGGTAAGGTGAAAAAGCAGAGGTAAATCTGCCAAACTGCTTACCCTGCTAGCAGGGCAAGCAGGGCAAGCTCTGCTAYCATTTTCTACCTCCTTTCCCCTTCAAGACTCAGTCACATATTAACTGATGTTCTGCTTTTGCAAACAGGGACRCGCTGGTAGCTCTAAAGCATCAGGAGGAGGAATTTCTAATTTAGATTCATTCCACCAGGCTGGAAAAACAAGCTAATGAACCCATTTAATCACCAGCAGAAGCAACAGCTGGCAAAGTTCACTTGCCTGTTTGGAGGATCCTTCTCCCCATCAAAGATATTTATACTTCACAAAAAGACATCTCTACGAAAGGTCCTAGAATATGAAACTGGAGATCACGGCTCTAAAGAGCTGTACCCCAGAAAAAACACAAGTTGTTTTTGAGATCAGGGAAAGCAGCAGCTGGTTTCTGTGAGCACCCGGCTCCCTCCCTGCAGACAACCATAATCCATCCACATCACATCCACCCACAACACCAAACATTTTCTAGAGGCTCTGTGACATCTACATTGAGCTCGGGCATTTGCCAATTGATGGGAAAACCACCAGACTGCAAGGTAAGATGTTCCCTCTCAGGCCTCATTAAGGGAAACACATGAAGCACTGGGTCGGCAATCACACCATCTTTCARGTTAAATATGTTCTCAAGTCCAAAATGCAGCTCCACGATTAACATGCAGTTTAAGACGACTCTTTCTGTGTAGCAATAAAGCTATTTAACCGGAATCCTCTGCTTTAGCAATCTTTGTCACAGAATGCTCGAGCCAGGTAAGCCAAGCTGTGCACATCCCAAAGAAAAACAAAATAGCCTATTTTTTTTCTCTCATTGTGAAACAAGCCCAAATAGATTTATCCCATCAAGGCTTCACGCTTTATTTCACTAAAACATTAGCGGCTGAAAGGAAGTGCCCGTGACAAAGACTGTTAAAAGGAAGTTGAAAGAAAGATAAAACACCAACCGAGTCGTTGCACGTCCCTGGCCTCAGCTGCAGGTTCATGCACAGTTGGTGGTAGAGACACTGGCATCACCTTTGGATGTTAACAGGAGCTATTGGTGGCCTCAAGCCACTCATTAGAGCACTTTGTTCGTGACAAGTCACCATGTTAAATCATATTTACCAACTTAAAGACACGGGAGACAGGTAAAGAATAACTCCTAGGTCTTTACTTATCAGTGACTGAGCTGCTAGCAGAAAATAGAGAAGTACATCCAGACAAGAAGGGGCTACTGAGCCCTGCAACGTCTCCTCGCCAGGTGAGGCCTCCAGGCCACGGCGTTTTTAAGACCACATGTCTGTGTACAGTCCTTCAAGATGATTTGTCTGCCAAGCAAAGAGCTAGCTGGGATACACAGGGAGCCTAAGGGGAAAGGCAGCCATGGAAAAGCTCCTTCTGCTCCAGGTCGCTGCTGCTCCTCTTCCACCCTCCAGCCAAATGTCTTCCAAGTGCCCACAAGAAGCACATGCAGGGGGTTGCTCTTGCTCTCATTCTTCTCAAGTTTCTCCAAGAGGAGTATTTACAACTTCACGAATTTAAAACCAGCACATCTGGGGCAGCCCCCCGTTCTGCAGGTGTGCAACCAGGCTTTGGAAATTCACCACACTCCGCATCACACGCTCTTCTCTTACCGCCTGTCACTCACGTGCAATGGCAGCGGTGAACAACACAGCTGCAAACCACAGGAGCATGTGTGAAAGGAGGATGTGACACTGAGGACCATCTGGAGGCTGACAAGACCCGAGAGCAGGAGACACGGAGCTGCCTACATCCAGACGCGTTATCCTGACAGATGAAGGAACYCTGCTCTTCTGAGATCAACAGACTGAAATTTTCTATTTAAATAATCACGCTTGATGCTTCAGTTGTTATGAGGCAGAGCACCCCAAGGCAGAACGTGGCTAGATGCTAAAGTCTGCTCTTCATCTTGCCAAAGAGCACCCTCAAGTTTGATGATTTGTGCCCAGACAGGTAATTTTCATTAATATTTAGCACGGCTGTTTTCAGCCTGCAGCCTGATTTTAGGTTTCTACAGTAAAAGCCACGCTGAGTAACAACATAAAAATTATTTTTCCACATAACAGATGTTCCTGTTTAGTTTCTGCTTTGCAAACTATGGCATGATTTATTATCATATAATTACAAAATACTTCAGCAATGATCAAAATCATAATCAACATTTACCACAGACATTCCCAATTCAACCACTTAAAATAAAGACGTTACCAACTCTCAAATTGTATCCAATTCAAACAGCAAGACTTAAAAAAATAAAAAGTGTACAGCATCTGGGATCATGTTATCGCATTTCTAGTTTAGGATTTGGAAAGAAAATTGAAGCTAATGCAAAAATATAATTCTCATACACCCACATGATTCCCTCAAATCAGATTTTGAAAATTTTAAACTACAAAATATTTTTGGAGGTTTGGTTTCTTTTAAGTCTACATGTGTGTGAATGTGCAGCCCAGGTCATCTGACTTTGTTTCTCTCCACTGACTAGAAGAGGCCAACATGACTAGTTAGATATAGGTATCCAAAAGTAGGATAGGATTTTTCTTTCCAAATTGTGAATGCCTGGATTTTCAGGGTTCCAATTTACTGAGYGCTCCAAATTACAGCTACAGGAGCTATTCGGAAGGGAAAAAGTATATTCCATCTGTTCCAAACTAAAACTAGTCACTCAGCATTCATATACTGTCAATATCTATGCTTTTGTAACCTGGACTCCCATTCACAGAGTTTTTTATTCCTCCTCACAAAAGTAGCCTGAAAAAATATCCATGATTAGACTCAAAGAGTTACGATGCTACAAGGATTAACAGCATAGAAAAAAAAAATAATGCCCAAGGAATGATTTTTTGAAAGAAAAAGTGCCAAGATTATCCCTTTTGTTATCATGAGCAATATGCAAATATGCAACTTACTGGTCACTTACCCTGCTGTCTCTGTATACATCAAAAACAACTGAAAAGGAGAAAAAAAAGTTAATTTTAAAAGACATAATTGAACAGAAAATGTCTGAATCTTAATTGTGCACCTAGAACACTGAGAGAGACTGTCTGCTGGGCTTTGCTATTTAAAGCTGGTTTATTCTGCTGTTTTTTTCCCCGCAAAGAACATGTGATTAACTGCCAGCATAGAGAGGAGCTCCTCTTGCTTGTCCTGCAGCAGCAGCGAGAAACTCCACGGAGGGTCAAGGCCCTGGCACACGAGCCTTTAATAAGGGCAAATTCTTCCTTCAAATAGATTAGGACCTCAGCTGATAACGAGACAAAGCAGATGGAAAGAGGAAAAGGGGCAGGCAGCAGTGAAATTCAGGCAGCAGGTTACATTCARGGTAAAACAGAGCTGTTACAACACATCTACTGATTCCCAACAGCTCTTTCAAACACCCTTAGCTTTTTGATCATTTAAGCAAAGTTGCCTTTTGTAGCTTCATTGCTGGTCCTCCCACTGAATTAAGCATAGTTCTTGGTATGTGCATCTCCCTGTTAGCTTCTGTTCTGCACTGTTAAACAAATGCTTGATTTGTCTTTCCACCTAGCTACGGAAATCAGTAAATAAGGATTCAGGTCTGACGAGCTGCACCAGTTTAGCAGAAAAAAAATAAATTACAATTGCTAGTTTTAGAAAGCCTCTGACAAATGCTGCACTGGCACTTCCTTCACAAATAAGGAACTGAGTATTTCAGCTAGTTAGGAGATTTCCTAACGTGTGAGACAAGCAAAATTCAGCGTGGGACTGAAGAACAGTCTCAGTGGCTGCTCAGGAAGCTGCCTGTCAGCAGCACCTATGTTGACTGATTGTGTCCAAGTGTATAAGCTACTTGGTAGTTCAGCCTAACATTTAATGCCAAGTTGGCTGGGCTAAGATTATACCACAACTTAGAACTAAAAATGAGCCACCTGTTTTTGACCGCATGACCTGAAAATTCACAATGCTTTCTGCAAAAGCTCAGCTATATAGATTTAAAATATGACTCTGGAGGTAAGCAGGAGGATTTTCTTAGGAAAATCAAGCCTTCAAGATGGCTAAGTTATCAACATAAAAAAGAGCTCAACAATCCTCGATTCCTTCAGTAACTGTTGAACCACATTTGTTGCTTATACTGGGTAATCTCACTAGGTATATTTCATTAATGGAAAAATTTCACCTGAGCTTCACTGTGATATTTGTCAGTTTAAAACAAACCAGTGGCAATTATTTATCATTCATCAGTGAGGCTGATGGCACTTAGTGGGACTTAAAGCACCATCAGGACTCACTGAAAYGTTAAGTCATTAATTTAGGACACTCACAAACACTGAGCAGGGAGGAAGACCTAAACTGTTCCCTCCTCCTCGGTGGTCAGCCCAGAGCAGYGTGTCGAGAACTAAATGCTGGAAGTCACCCTCAATCACAAGCAGCTCAAAGTAAAGCTAAGGGCTTAACTCTAGAGCAAGTATTGACACCTCTGAAAGCTTGTTTTTAGTGGGCTTTTGTGAAAGTTTATGAAAGGTTATGAAAAAGCTTAAACACAACTTCAAAGTACTTTTTAAGCATTTGTCTATCTGTTAATGTTGGGCTCTGATTCTGCACCACTTCAGCTGCTCTGGCTCAACTCTTCCATCTGGAGATGCTACCAAAACCAACTGAAAAAAGTAGAGCAAATACCACTGAAAGAAACACCCGAAGAAGCAAAAATAYAGATATAAAATTTTAAAAGGGTCAAAAAAGTTTAACATCGCTCCAGAAAGAGCATCAAAAGATATGTTGGAGCATGAAGTAAAGGGAGGGAAAAAAACATGGAGAATTTTTTTTKTGTGTGTGGCATTTCTCTGTCAGAGACAGGTAACCAACACTTACACTGCAAGGTTAGGAGGAAAATGGAACAAACCTTCATCCCAGGGTGCCTCCCTGAAGACTCCCTTTCCCAGAGGTAATTTAGATGGAGCAGTTTTATTTACTTTACACAAGATGACAGACTTTGGATCTTTCAGTTCACCAGACAGCAGTTTCAGAGCCTACATCTAAGCATCTACTTCTAAAAATGCTGACCTGATTTCTTATCTATCAGTTGATTACATGCCAACTAAAATTATGCTAGCTTGGAAAATACAGGAAAATTAAAACAGGTAGTAATCAGAATGTCCTAATTGTATGATTGATTTCATCCAAAACTTCAGGGCTAGAGATCTATTGAATTAGTATTCTGCTTTCCAGACTGYTAGTCTTCAAGCAGCGACTCCTGATAAGTTGTCTGGAGTGGAACAAAGGAACTGTGCAGAATCCAATGATTAAAATTTGAATAAAGCAGCCTGGTGTTAGAAGGTACTCCCTGCAGAAAGTCAGACAGGACAGATCAGCAGAATAGGTAGCCAGAATCCTAACTTACCTACAGGTTCAGTACTCAMATCTCTAATGTGGACCATGTAAGTGGTCAAGAAAACTCTTATGTTTATGTGTTTTCCAAAATAAGGGTCAGTTCACAAAGGCCAATTTAATAAATTTTTCTTCATCCGACTTTTCAGGACTCCTGAGACTCATCACAGTACAGCACTATTCTACAGTCACTAAACCATGTCCGAGAACTATTTTGAAATTAATTTTTCAAAGGACTTTAGGTGTAGAAACAGAAAACGTTTACCTAAACTGCTTAGAGATCATAGAATTACCCTGCCTTTATTCTGAATAAGCCTGGCCAGCTAAAACACTATGCATTTTAGAAATATTTTTTTGAATTTTTCCACAGTTTTCACCAATGTCCAGCAGTGAACTGCATTTTAGCACACTGGAAATTTGGTGGACCATGGAGAAAACAAGCCCAATGAAGTCTCATGTTATGACACTGGCCCTGCAAGGTCCAGTTCAGGACCCTCAGGAAAGTACCGTGCAAAACAACTTCAAAGAGGTAGAGCCTCTATTACTGTTYTTAAATCATTGTAGTTATGTCTGCAAACATTTTAAAACCTGCATAAACATCGTCCCTCTCTCTCTCCTTTGCTTCCCTTTCCAATTCAAGCCTTCAAATACTTACAGTCTTCATCCAAGAATTTATACTGTATGTTTCTCTTGAAAAACTCCTGGATTGATCTACAGATCTCTTCATGCTGCTTAGAGATATGATCATAATATTGAGTGTAGTCTCTTTGAGAGATACCTGTGAATAATTTTAGTTGGTTACAAAGAGCTTCAGACACTTAAAATAAATAAATAATTAAATAAATAAAAACATAGTTTTCAAATTCTTATTTCAATTGTTGCTTATTCATTTCAGGGTGAATTTTTATTCACCCTGGTTACTCTGGCCAAAACCATTTTTGTCCTGCACATCAGAGGTAGAGGCCAGAATCTGAAAATGTGACACAAAAGGACCTTGTAAGGTCTTAGTAATATGTGGTAAGATACCGTAAGTCAAACCTTAAATTTTAGTATGAACAAAACAGTCTCATAAAAACTCACTGCAATAGCTTATAACCTAATACACTGCTTCCATTTGCTCCCTCTGAGGGCTTTCTTGTGCACTTGACATTAGACAAACTATCCCAATTGCATCAGAAGTTCTTAATTTCAGACATTTGTTTTTAGGTAAGACAGTAGTTTAAGCTGACATCAACAGGGTTATACACTTAACATTTATCTTAAGTGACAGAAGTTCTGATACAGGATATGTAAACAAAAGTGACTGCAATAACCTGCTGGAAAAATGTCAAATCAAGACATACTCATCACTATAGAATAAGTAACTTATGCTATTTATGGAAGAAAAAGAGCCAAACTCTACCAAAGACGATGCACCAGTGCTGACAGTTTGCTATTTTAATCACATATGTAACACTTCAGAGACTGCATCTTGCCATAAGAAAATGCAAAACACCTCCAAAGAAGTGCTCTTTCAAAGAGCTCATATAAAATAYAAAGCTGAGAAAGCCAGTGGAACTTTGAATTATTAATATCACTGCCAAGCTCAACTTTGGTCTAAAAATAAAAGCAAGAGATGTTGGCACCTCGGGGGGATCCAGGTGCCTAACTGGACAAGCACTCACCACACTGCAAGCATCGCTCCTTCGCCTGACACACAGGCTCASTGGGAGTATGGGAATGTTGCGAAAAAACTTGGAGATGCTTTCAGACAACTCTAAGATAGCTGATAATCACTCTAAGGTAGCAACTGAGGTGCTAGGAGTCATGGTGGGCAAGGTGACCACGAAGCAGCAGAGCGTCATCGTGGCCAAGGAAGTCAATGGGAGCCTGGGGTGAGAGGTGAACATCCTCCTATACACAGCCCTGGTAAGGCCACATSTGGAGACTGTGTCCAGTTCTGGGCTCCCCAGGACAAGAGGGATGTGGAGCTGCTGGAGAGAATCCAGCGCGGGRCTACCAGGATGATCAGGGGCCTGGAAYATCTGCCCTGTGAGCAAAGGCTGAGAGAGCTGGGCCTGTTCAGCCTGGAGAAGAGAAGGCTGAGAGGGGACCTGATCAGTGTGCATAAATAGCTCAAGGGAGGCAGTGAGGAGGAGGGGACAGCCTCTTTCCAGTGGTGGCCACTGACAGAACTAGAGGAAACGGACACAAACTGAAGCACCAAAAGCTCCACAAGAACTTAGCGAAAAATTTCTTAACAGTGAGGATGAGAGATCCCTGGCACAGGCTGCCCAGAGAGGTTGTGGAGTCTCCTTCTCTGGAGATCTTCCAAACCTGCRCAGACGCAGCCCTGTGCCCCGTGCTCTGGGTGAGCAGGGGGTTGGACTGGATGACCTCTGAGGTCCCTTCCAACTTCAACCATTCTGTGAAAKGCAGAGATCTGTGGTCTCAGCACTGGGAGGAGACGGTGCAGAGAGGCATATATCTCTATATATAATTTTAAAAAATAAAAATATTTTATATATATKTATATGCAAATTTATTCATAWTTTCTATATATAATATAAATAAAATACTGATGATTTGCTAGATTTTAGAAACAGACAGTTTAGTTAGCCAGAGTACAGATACATAAATTTCACAGTAATCCTACATTCAAGCATTTTAGAGATGATTACAGTGACGTACGTGTCAGTTGTGGCACCTCAGCATCACAAAAAGGACAGAATTCAGCTCTTCCTCCTTCATACTGACTGAACGGAGACTCCCTGCTACTAGTAAGACAAACTCCAATATAAACCCTATGAATGGCATGAACGGGAAGGTGAGTATGGAAGCACCAGAAGGAACATCCAAAAAAAAGGGTTATACGAATGGCACGTGGTGGCAGCCGCTGAATTAGCAGATCTCAAAAGATCTGTGTTACAGGACACAGGAGACAAAGGACAGTGACTAAATCCCTGATGACTGACAGCAATGGAATAGGATGGAGAAAATAAATCACTGCCAGCTCCCAATTGCTACAAAAAGGCACATCCAAAACTAGTACCTAGTCACTGCCCTAGCAGAACCCAGCAGAAACAGTGAGGACTGATATCCCTTCATGTCTTCACCACAAGGAATCCTGGACAGACTACTGGTACACATGCACCTTGTTGCTTGCAAATACACAGGTGTGAGTGGAATTAGTTTCATTTTATAGCAATGAAATAACCCCCTTCCTTCCTATAAAGTCTGGATTAGAGCTTTGCTACATCCTTGCTAGCAGCATTTCCACATCGTTTCCTATGCCAGGAGAGTTCAATCATAATAATTTTGTCAAGATAAGGGCAAATGTGCACAGCTCTGTGCTATCTACCAAATTCTGTTCATTGTGATAGACTCTGTGAGAAAYCACAGCAAAAACTAATTTCATCTCCAGAAATAAGGGATGGAACTCAGTCCAAAAGCAAAATCTTCTCTTCAAGCATCTACATGTGCCCTAGATACCTAAGCTCCCATGATGGTGAGAAGAACTCAATACAGCCACAGAATTCACCTGACCCTGAAGCACCTACATAAACACAGTTTAACTGCCTAAAATACCTTCTCCAGCACAAGCTGCCTGTCCTCAAGCTGTCACAGGTCTCCCATGGGTCTCCTAATGTCTCTGCCAGCTCTCTGCGTGTTTTGGACATCCTGGCAGCTCTGTGTCACTTGAAACATTCTACATTTAGGTTTTTAACCCAGAGTGATCGGTCAATTGCTTTGCCGACTCAATTCCTTTGACTATAACACAAGCTCAGACATCCAGGAAATCTGTGGACATGTTCTGACCCCCTGAACTTTCCACACAGAGTATCCAGCTGTGCTCACAGTCTCAGGATACAGCCCAAGTGCCTCCTTCTCCAARAAGGCTACAACAAAGTGTGCTCTTGAATATAAAGGAATCATTTGCTTAAAATCCTTTGGATTAATTTTCTTAATTTGCAATTAGAGTTGAGAACTTACCACTGCTACACAGGGCATCATGTGCTACCAAGATGTAAGATGAAATGAAAAGGAAAACTTGGCATTCCATATTTTAAATCACAGAAAAGGGAAGAAAGGGAAGAAAGGGAAGAAAGGGAAGAAAGGGAAGAAAGGGAAGAAAGGGAAGAAAGGGAAGAAAGGAAAGAAAGGAAAGAAAGGAAAGAAAGGGAAGAAAGGAAAGAAAGGAAAGAAAGGAAAGAAAGGAAAGAAAG